ATTAAGGGGGCCACCTCCATTCTGGGGAATTTATATTTGAACTGAGGCTCCAGCCTCGATGCCCAGGAACTTTTTTATTACAATCGCTTAGGAAGTAAAGCCTTGTCTCCCTCCCTGTTCTGTGCCTCCTGTACCTCTCCCTGTCCACCTCTGGCCATCCTCAGCCCCAGTCCAGCCTTCCCTGCCCCTCCAGGGGCCATGAGTGCCTGGGTTTCTAACCCCACAGGGTTACAACAGGGGAGAGTTGGACATTTTATGATGAACCAAAAATTCTGTGTGTGGGGGGTAGGGGGCAGAGGAGGGTGAGGGGTGCCACCCATAGGCCACAAATCTCTACAAGTGCCTGCTATCCCTCTTCCACTCTCCACCCCAGCACTGGTCCAACCCCTTCACCCCCAGCTGCTCCTAGGACCAGCCCATAGGCAGGTGGGTGGGGGGTGGGAAGGGTGAACCCTAAAACCAAACTGGAAGCCCCCTCTGCCTCCCAGCTGGGGCCCCTTGGGTGGGGGTCTGTGGTCAAGCCTTATTCTGTATTGGGGGTAGAGGGTGGGGGGAGGGAAGTTGGGGGCTGTTGGAGAATGTATTCAAATCAATAAAACTTTGGACCTTTGGATGGAGTGATCTGTCTCACTGCAGGGCCATAGCCTGTGTTAGATTCTGAAGGACAGGTCTGGACTGGTTCCCCAGTAGATCTATGGCCAGAGTGCCTAACCCCATCTGAATGGGTAAAATCCAGGCCTGGGAAATGATCTCCTGACCTTGGGGGCACATAACCCCCAGGGCCTGATGATTAAGGTCTCAGGCATACTCTGACCTTCCTCTGATTGCTCCCTTATCCCGTGGGGACCACTTGTACTTGGGAACATTTGGACTCTTCACCTACTGCCTGAAATGCCTTTTCTCTGGCTCTGAATTACTATCCATGTCCCCAAGCTCTGGTGAAGGCCTGGACCTCCTTTTGCACTATCCTCTAGCATCCTCCCACACATCATATAAGGAAGGGCCTTCCTTAGGGCACTTCTGAGTTAGTCTGGGGTCCTTTGGGGACAGGCCTGCAGTCTCTTGAAATGCAGACCTTGCAAGGGATCTTAGTGATCTTCCCTTGGAACCATGGGAACATCATCTGCCAATAAGTCGAGAAGGAACGGGCTTAATCAGAGTTGCTACTGATTGACCTACTATACCAAGTATCTGCTACCTAGTTAGGAGCTGCAATGCTTCAACATCTAGCAAGGTAGGGGGAAGTGACTCAGTTAATGACTTGCCCAAGGTCCTGAGCTCGGCCAGGACTTTCAGTGAGGTCAGTCTCAAGTTTTTTCACCTCATGAGTTAGGGTGGCTGGATCCAGACCACGGTCTCAAGATCATAGGATCTGAGAGGTGAGCTCATCAAGCTAAAGCCTAGATTGGAGAGCTCCAATGGGATGAAAGAATAAGGAGGCGGGATCCAGGCTGCAAGCGCTCTTCCTAGACAGCCCAACCCCTTCAGTGCAGGTGAGGTGCCTGAGGTCCCAAGGGGCAAAGGAGTTTCCCCAAGGCTACACAGCTGCTAAGAGAGTGAGAATGGAGGGCTCCAGACCTGTTGGAATGGCTTCACTGGAACCCCACCCTGTGCAATTCTGAAGGGGAAGGGACTGGTAATTCCTACCCACTCTTAGTCTTCATTTCATGCCAGCCCAGGGTGGGTGGTCCCACATGATGTCCCTCTGTTGGCAGTGAAGAGAGGATCCAGAGCTGGGGTATTGGCAGGAAACCGAGGCTCCAGAGGCGGCCTGGGGCCGGCGGGCAACTGCTCCCTCTCCTGGGTGATGTAAGTCATTCCCTGGGGTGGGGGACACTGGGCTATTTCTGGAAGTTGGGATGAGGCACGTCTCCTGGCAACACAGATGCAGCTGAATTGGTGGTGGTGGTGTGATGATGGAGAAGGGGATGTCATCACTTGGGGAAGGTGGGAGGACCCTGCCTGTAGGCTCAGCTTCTGATTCCGGTGCCTTCAAATCACCTCTAACCAAGTCTAACATGGACTCAAAAGTCCTCAGTTCCAGAACTACTCTCCAGGTCAGACCAGGCCCAAACAGACTTCTTGCCCCCAATTCTGGCTGACTAGGATGTCACAGGTGGCTCCTGGTTTTGAAAACTCCAGTGGATCCTCTAATCTTAAGTGACCCACCTATATCTACAGTTTCTGCAAGACCACATCCTTGCTCCCTTCCACATCCTCCAGGGTCTCTGATTCCAAGTAGAAAGCCCTTTATAGATTTCAGGACACTTAATTCATCCCATCAGAGGTTCCCTTCATACCTGTAACCCCCAGCACCCCCACAAACCCTCAAAGCTCCTTCCTGATGCTTCTCAGCCACCCCTCATCCCTTCAGGTCCCTTAGAGATCCCTTCAGTCAGTAGTAGTTTCTCACAGTCTCCCACAGACAGTTTAAGAACACCCCAAGTTCCCTGACTTATCCACTGGTCCCCAAGGAGGCCCCTTCATTGCTCCACGTGGGGAGGCCCCTGGGTATCTCCAGACACCATAGGCCCCTCAAAGACACTTACAACCGGCTCTAGCACCACTCAGTAAACGTTCTCTCCCTACAAATACCCGGGTTAAGATTCCCCCAGGCTCCCCCAGACTCCCACGTATCCTAATGCCCTCGTGGCGGTTGCCTACGCGCAGCCTACTGCGCATGTCCTAGGGGTTCTGGCCGTTAAGTAACCGCCACTATCCCGCCTGGCTCAGCCGCCCTTCTGAGCCTTCTCGGTGCAGTGTAGGATTATTTCCCAGGCTTTGGGGCTTGACTCAGATTTTTGCTTTTCGACTCAGAGCTGCCGTCAGAGGGCAGCAGGCACCGTCTTGCTAAGAAACTACAACTCCCCAAAACACCTGCTCCAGGCTGTGCGTGATTCTGCCGCTTTCATTGAGAAGGGAGCGAAAGTGTGTCCGCGCTTTGCCTTTTGGTTAATGTAGTCCGAAAAGGCTTCGGTGCTACCGTCCGTTCCGCCCCGTGGGTCTGCGTCCATTGGGAATTGCAGTCAGGAACAGACTTTCTCCAGACTTCAGAGAGGGCAGGATAGTATGACCACAGGCTCGGATTAAAGTGACATCTAGAGAGTGCATTTCCCATCATTCCACGAGGCAGGAGGGGCTTGAGGGTGATTTCATTCTAGTTCCAAGTATTTCCGGGACACACACACTCACGAACTCCCTTTGGTGCTGCTGTCCTTCCGGGTATGAATCGATAAATAGGGAGACTTAATGCGCGCACAAAACCCTAGGCTACTCCTAGCAGCCGGCTTCCTTGTTCGGGCCCTCCGAGATTCTGTAATATAGGAAGCAGGCGGACGCAAAAAGCTGAGTGGGGGTTTAAGGCAAATTGTATTTTGTTTTTTAACGCTCGGCTCGACCTTCTGGTGTAACCCTCAATGCTAAAAAAAAAACTAGTATCCGAAGACTATTGTTCTGAGCAACCGCCGGGAACTTTGTTTCCCAAACCGTTTGCAGGGAGTTTTTCCTTCCCTATTTTTGGAAACTTGGAACTTGGTTTCCATTTTCCTGTAGCCCCTTAGTAGACTTAGGCTCTTTCTTAGGGCCTGGGGTCGGAGAAGGCGGCTTTGAAACACTCTTCAGTATCCACAGGGAACTGCCGTCTTTCACCTTTCGCTTACTCTTTCCCGAAGGTACCCTTCAGACACCACTCTACTGCAAGTGTAGGCAGTCTGTCCCACCGGGTCAGGAGACGGTGTGGCCTATTCCCCAGCATGCTTTGGGCTCACGGTAGATCCCTCACCTCAGTCAATAGGAAGGCTGTCCTGAACTCCATTTCCCAGAAGACACAAGGGCTAGCTGTAGCAACTGCTCCGAAGTCTGGGTGTTGACTACATATCCCGGCAGGAACTGCGGCCTAGCTTACGAAAGAGGAGGAACGCTGTATCTACTCCATTTCCTAGCTTGTCTCCGGAACTGCAGTATCCACTTAGGGTTTAGGGATCACCCCGGACTCCATTTCCCGGCGTGCTTTGGGAATCTCTTTACACCTGCAATGCAGTGAGGGCGTGGCGATGACTCCATTTCCCGGCTTGCCTCACGGCCCGATATCTGCGGGTCCTCCTACGTAGACTCAATTTCCCAGAGTGCATCTGGCTCCCGTAGTCATATACAGCCAATAGACTCAGTGAGCGACTGGACTTGGTTTCCCGGCGTGCGTCAGGTCATTGACGGAGTGGCTGCAACTAGGTTTCTGAGGCACACCGGGCGGCTCACCGTTGCCGCAGTGGAGTGAATGTGCGACTTTGACTCAGCTT